GCCCATTTCTATGGGGTCTTGGGGCCTTGGCTGTATTCAGCTGCATTTCATGCCAGCTGGACTGAGCTGCTGGAGAGCCGGCGTTTCACCAACGTGGCCCTCAAATGGGCGAAATGTGGCCACCATGCAGTGTTAACAGTGGAAGGGCTGCAGAGCTGCTGGACACGCCCTGGTTAAACTGCTCTCCGTTGCCGATAGGAAAGTGCTCCTGTGTCTGCTCGTAACATAACTTCCTTCTGGGGTTGTTTGCGAGCCGTCTGGGCACCTCAAAGGGCGGGTCTGCAAGGCCCTTATTTGCATACTCGAGTTTCACACGGAAAGAGCCTCTTCCATATAGCGGTTGCTAGGGGTGTCGCTAGGCCATATGTCATAGAGGTTCTTTGGCTGCTGACAAGGTGATTGACATGACTGTCTTGAATACAGATGTTCAGCACGACCGGAACTGGGGGTGGAGACAGAATGAGGTGCACATGGCCAGGCTGGGATTGGCTAATCAGTGGAGACGGGATGCAGGGGAGGGTATTCTCCCAGCTGCAGTGAAGGAGAGCAGGGGTCCTTAACATACAGCCTCGAGGCAGGGTGGGTGGGGACGGCACGCTGGCACCTGTGATGTGTGCATTCTGGTGCATCACTCACTGTGCTGTCAGCCTCGGTGGAGAAGACATATTTCCCACTCAGCTGTTACGGGGCTTCGTAAACGCGAAGAGACTGAGTTTCCACAGCACGTTTCAGACTTAAGGTGTTTCCAGGCACTTTGCGCTGCAGTGAGTTAGAGCCTGTCTGTGCAGAGAAACACATCTGTCACGCTGCATTGGGTGATGGCTCAGGGACGTTAGAGGCTGCTGAGTAAGGAGGGTGACTGTTGATGTGGGAGATGCTGGGGCAGGGCTGCCCAGAGGATTCAGGGGGCCTCGGGCAAAGCAATTTCAGGGGCCCCTTCCATAAAAAAAGTTGCAATACCATAGAATACTATATTCTCATGGGGGCCCCTGCGGGGCCCGGGGCCTGGGGCAAATTGCCCCACTTGCCCCCCACTCTGGGCAGCCCTGTGCTGGGGTTGTCTCCAGCTGCATGAAATGCATGGGATCTATAACTGGACAGCCCAGGAGAGAGGTTGGGTTAAGATCTCTTTCAAAGGGCAGGGGGTTGGACTAGATGACCTCCTGAGGTCCCTTCCAACCCTGATATTCTATGATTCTATGTTCCCCCACCAGCTAGGACCCCAGTGAGCTTTCAGCAAAGGTTAGGAGTCAAGTCCTGATGTAAGATCTGAGTAACCTACAGCCTTTGGGCTGATGCTGGAGAAGAGGTGGCTCCCTAAGCTAGGCTAATACCTTGCAATTGGTATAAATTGTAGCCACGCGCTGGCCAGTTTTCCCAATGGGCAGAGTATAATAATGGCTTTACTTTCCTCTAACCCCTTTCATTATAACAACAGCGGGAAGCTGCTTGGAGGTAAGGACACCTTGCAGTCCACACCAGTTGGGTCACTATTATTATTAGCCTCCTTTTACAGGTGGGTGAAACTGAGGCACGGAGAGGGAAGAGATTTGCCTGCATTGAGTTGGTGGCAGAACCAGGAACAAAACCCAGGAGTCCCGAGTCCCTGCTCTAATGATGACACAGACTCCCTCCCGCACAGTAACGGTGTGGTTTGGGGCTAATTGCATCCCCCCAGATGTTGTAAGTGTCATGCCCATTAGCAGCTGTGGTAATATTTCAGCCCGGTGTGTCTCCCGATTGTTCACATGGGGAGTCACAGACCCTTGCCCCAACTCTCTTGAGTGTTCTCCTCCCCTGGCAGCAGCGACTGGAGAGCAGCACATGGGTGGCCCTAATCTCAATGGCTCAAGCCTGGTCAGCAGTTTCCTGACTGTGGTGTCTATTTCACACCACCCTGCATCTGTGGATACTGCCAAACTCCGCCCACACCAGGGACTTTGGAGGGGAAGCAAGGGAAGGAGTTTAAAAACAGGACCCAACCAAGCCACTCGTGGGGTATCAAATACCTGCTAGCGCAGGGGGCGCTGTAAGGTTAGGACTGCCTAACGTCTGGGAGAATTACTCAACTGGCCTGACCTGCTCCTGCCCCAGCGTCAAGGCAATGGGAACTGGCTGGCCCCACACACCGCCTTGATGCTCCGATTGTGGGCAGGGCTATGGAAAGGGAGCATCCCTCTTCATGCTGATCTGGGTTCCATTCCTTGGTGAACCCCCCCCCCCCCGTCCCCCAGACCGTTCCTGAGCAGAGCAGTGAGGGCCACGGTGCGGTAACAGCCTTGCTGGGCCAGTTGTGTGCACAGGCGGTGTTGAGCTTGGGCACCCTTGGAGGGACAATGCGTGTGATGGGAGGCCAATGGATTCCAAGACAGCACCTGACGTTGTAGGGCTGTGGCTTGCCCTGGTGGAGGGGCAAGATTCCAGGGGTACACTAGGAAAGTGTCAAGTGTTGATTTGTACCCAGATACACTCATGCTCACACTCGGTGTGAATCATCAGACTGCCACTGGTCCTGGGATCACAGCGCTTACAACCGAATACTATAGTTGCCAGGCTAGAGGCCGTTTCCTGCCTCAAGCCAGCCAAACTCCAGTTTGTTTTAAACGTCTTTTATTTTTGCTGGGGGGTGGGAGGTAAGGAAAGTGGAAGCTCATCACCCCGGAGGGAAATGAAGATGCCCGGCCTGGCCCTTTGGGGTATTGCAGTGTATTGGTGACCCTCTCCTGTTCTCCCTTCGTCTCCCATGCAGCTGGGGCTCTCACGTTGCAGGACCCTCCTTGAAAGTGGTTCAGCTGTGCTGGTGCCTGTGTCGACTCAGCAGTTTGTAGTGATGCATGGCTGACTGGCCCTGCTGGTCCAAAGGGCACCGCGTCCAGAGGGAGCCATGATTCCACTGCACCCTATTGGCAGTGTGCTCTACTCCTCCCTGGGGTTGGTTCCCTTCCCATTTGCTCCCGCTCCCTCCTTGCTCTGCCTCTTGCTGCCCTGGTGCCAATGGAAGCCATGGAAATGCTGGTACAAAATCCCCTCTGCTTGAGAGTGAGCCTTTGACAGGCTGTGAGGATGGAGCATCTGCCCACTTGCTGTAGGAGGTGATCCCAGCAGCTCAGCCCTGCTGCTCTGCCAGCCAGAGAACCAGAGCGTGGAGCCTGATGTCTCATTGCAGGAAAGGAGCTCCCTGGACAGGCAGCTGCGCATGCAGGAGGACTCTGTTGCTTTCTGCTGGGCTGGGTAATACAGGCCAAACGAGCCCTTTAACTCCTGACTGTGTTAGCCATGAGCTGGCAGCCAGCGAGGGAGTAATGGGGGAAGGAGGTGCTCCCCAGAGATCCTGTGCTTGCCTTGCACCCCTCAATTGCCTTGGAGCTGATAGGCCAGAGGGTGGAGTCCTCCCATCCTGCAGATCCCAAGTCTCTGGGTACGTGCGGCTCTGTATGCTGCTGTAATGCAAGTTTTGCACCCAGGACCCTTGTATGGAATGTGCCAGGCCATGCCTGTGGCTTATGGACCACTAGTGGTGCTCAGAGCCTTTCCCGATGGTCCACGGGATGACCTATTTTGAGAACTGAACACTGGGGTATTGGGAGGGGAGGCTAGTCCCATTCTCACCAGGTCACTTACAGAATGAGATGAACTGAGAAACCCTGTGCTAGGAGTGAGCAGACTCTGTTCTGGGTCATACCGGTGAGGGGACAGCAGACATCCTGACCCTCTGCATGGCCTGTGTCTCCCCCAGTGCACGGGCTCTTTGTGTGCCTTGCAGTTGGGGTAATGCCCTAGGCATTCAGGGCTGCAGCAGCTAGCCTGGCTGTAAAAAAGCCCTGAGCCTTGAAACAAGCAGCATCTTCCTCTGCCTGCCTAACGGACCTGTACTCCAGGGAGCAGCTCCTCCGGGGGAGTGAAAGGACTACCTGGCTGCCCCCCTTCCTTCTCCGCCCCCCCTCACTCGCCCATCTGTAGGGGACAGTTCTGTTGCGGTGACCCAGGAATTTTGTTTCTGCAGTGAAATTGTTGGGGGTTTTCGCTGAACTTTTTATTTACCTCCATCAAGCGCTGGCTCAGGGTTTTGAATGCACAGCCTTGCCGTTCCCTGTGCTGCCCATTAGGATGGGGTGAAGGGGCATACAGATGCCTCACAAGGCAGTAAGTGGTTAACGGGCTACTGGAGCCCAGTCAGCCTGCCCTGCGACACCTGGGGCGGGAGTGGGACTTCCAGGGAGGAGCAGAAAAGGAGAGCCCTGCTCAGCTGGGGACTGGCAGGCTGGGGGAGTGGCTGTGGAGTTCTGCTTGCAGCAAAGAAGGCTATTGCTGATATGGTCTCAAGGGGAAAGGGAAGAGTTTATGTGCTTGTCTACTTGTTTTGGTCTTTGGGTCTCCTGGTGGAGGTAGACCTGTAAGTGACCTGACCAGAGGGCTAAGTCATTGCGACCCAGAAGGCGTTGGAGGCTGGGTGGAGCAGCAGCAGACTAATAGGGAAACCGAGTCTGAGCAACTGCTGCACTGCGCAGCGCTGCAAGGGGGCACTCTGGTAAGGATGCACTATTGCGGATGGGCACGCTGCACGGCTTAGGGGATTGTAATTCCGAGTCTCTTGAACTTCCAGGTGTGCATGGGGGGCCTGAGCCTCGCAGGGTTCCAGGCCCTGCTGCCTCAGGGGCGGGGAAAGCTGTGATGGGGGATCCTGGCAGGGAGAGCAAGCCCACTCAGCCCTGTGGAGTAGGGGCAGGCTGCTCTGGGGCCAGGCTGGGGGATCTCTGGGCGGCTGGCAGCTTTGGAGAAGGATACAGATTTCTAGGCATTTAATCTAAATTGAGCTTCATTCCAGCTTCCGGAGGTTTCTCAGTTTGCCAGGTCTCTAGGTGTGAATGTGGCTCATGGAGCGCTCCCACTGGCCTCCTCTTCAGCAGGTTGGTGTAGCCCGTGGTTCTGTCAGACCAGAGCCCAGAAAGTGCTCTGCCCCCGCCCCTCCTCCTCATGACTTTGTTGCTTCTTCTTCTTAGCATATCCGCCACATGCCTCAGGTGGCACGTGACCAGGATTCCTCACTGAATTTGATCCACTGGTTGGATCATTAGCTTGCCTGGGCTTGGCACTGACAGGGCGCACAACATGAACGCTGATCCGTGCCCCCCGCTTTCTTGCTGTGACTGGCGAGCTTGGCCAGCTAATGGCTTCTCCTCAGCTATCAGGGAGGACACATTTGTGGTGCGGCCTTCTGGCTCCTGGCAAGGGGGTGATACAGCCCTTTTGTTGCACAGTGTGTGTTGGGCCATCTTGTCCCCTGCCACTTCTCCTTGGGTCCGCGGCCAGGTCATTCTATGTATCCGTGTGAGGAGGGGCTCATCTCCCCCTCCCAGTCACTAACTCCCCCAGACCAGTAGGGTGGATAGAGCCCAGCAGACAAGTGGGGCCTGCCTGGGGCCAGCCAAGTGTGTGCCGTAGGACTGGCAGAGCCCCCCAGTTCAGTCAGGCACGAGATGCCGCCCCACAAAGCAGGAAACTCTAATAAAAACCCAGTCTGGCATACAGCAAGAGTGCTTAGGTCCCAGCTGTTGTGGGCTGCTGAGTGAGCCAGCCCCCAGAGGACTCTCTGTGTGTTGGCATGCAACAACGTCCACATTCTTCACGCAGAGTGAACTTCCCTTTCTTCTGACTCTCTTGGATTCCCCAGTCGCTTCCCCCGATAGCTGACTTTGCCGGCTTGTTGGGGTGGGCGTTTTCCCCTCGGCTTGGTGCTGGCTGCTGATGCCTTTTGATGCCCGTGGTGCCACCGTTGCCATGAGAACATTGGAAGTGTCTTTATAGCCGCAGCACCACTAGCTGGCTCCAAGAACTGAGAGATTGTGTTCAGTGCTCAGACTTTCTCTCCCTGCCACTCCGTGTCTCTGCCATTCGGCGTGCTCTAGTCTCGCCCTGGTCTGTCTGTCTTTTGCCCTCTCGCTCTCTGTGTCTCCATTCTCGTTGAGTTCTGTGTTAACATGCAGATTGCGTCCTCTGATAGTCGGGGGTGATATTTACTCTGAAGCCGGGCTGGTACTGGGACCTCTCAGCCCACGCAGCTGCCTGGGAAGAAAAAGCAAAGTTTGAGTTAGGATTTGCAAAGAATCCAGGAACATGCTGAGATGTTTTCTCTGCTGAGGATCTGCTTTCTGGCATTGAAATTGCTCCGTGACCCTAAATGGCACCAAAAGGGAGGCCATGTCCTAGTAAATGAATTTTCAGCCTCACTGCAGAAAGAGGAGGCGCCATCCGAACTTGGCTTCGCTTCTCATTCCTTCTTTGCAATTATGAATTGGAATGGCCTCTGGATTCCTTGAATGCTCCTGCGAGATTTTATACCTGTCGGTTAAGCATTGGCCTTTGGGAATGCTTTGGAAATAGGCTGGTGTACTCTAAAATCAGAAATTTATCATGCTTGTCGTGTGTGTACTTATCACATCTCAGGCCAGGTCTACACTACCGTGGTAGTTCGACGGCTGGCAATCGAACTTCCGGGTTCGATTTATCACGTCTGGTCTGGACGCGATAAGTCGAACCAGGAAGTGCTCGCCGTCGACTGCGGTACTCCACCTCAGCGAGAGGAGTACCACGGAGTCGACGGGGGAGCCTGCCTGCCGCATGTGGACCGCGTCTGAACCGCGGTAAATTCGAACTAAGGTATGTCGACTTCAGCTACGTTATTCACGTAGCTGAAGTTGCGTACCTTAGATCGAATTGGGGTGTTAGTGTAGACCAGGCCTCAGTAAGGGAGGCGCTCAGGGTACCCTCAATGGGACGTTGCCTTATGATACAGAGATCTGTGCTTAACCTGACTGCTGCAGCCTTCTTTCTTAGCCAATCAGCTGATCTTAAAAAGAAGACAGGCGGCTTCACCCCCACAGTGCTGAAAATAGACCACTAGAGGTCGCCATTGCCCATCTAGTGCATTAAGTTAGAATTTATCGGGCAGTCAAAAAAAACCATCTGACCGTTAAAGGAGGCTGCTTAAAAGTAAACATGTTCTGTGCATCTCCTTTGGATCCTTTAACAAGCAAAAACCTAGACATACTCTTTTCAAATGACTAACTGTAAATATCGCTCCCACATGGGTGCTGAGAGGATAATTCACAACGCAGTTTATGCACTTACATAGGGTGTATGTGGAGTGGAATATTGAGTATGCCACTTTGCCACTGGGGGTGGAGGCATTTCCATTCTGCATCTAGGTCCAAACAGTTGTTTCCTTAGCTGGGTCTGTCAGGAATCCTAACCGAAATGCCGTAGCCCCTTTAACAGAGTCTCTCACTGCCCTATTGTTTCCTTCTACAGTATTTAGAAAAAAACCCACACCCTTGTTAAAGGGACACTGCCAAAGTTGAGAGTGTTTTGGGGGAGGGAGGGCTAAGTTTGATCAATGATACTTTCTCCCCCTCCCCCTTCCCCTCTAGCTCTGGCTCTGTCTAGACAGTGTCATTTGTGCAAACCAACCATCCCCTTCCCACAAAGTACTCTGCAGTCCCAACAGCCCAGCACTCATGAGCAATCCCATGCCAGCACACTGGCACGCGCATCTCCAGCTCTCCTGACCACAATCTTACAATAACACACCAGCGGGTCCGCTCTGTGGAGGAGACATCTTCAGAAAAGCGACAGATTTTTTTTTTTTTTCTTTGACGCTTCCAAGCAATGATGACCAACTGCAGGAAATGAAAACATTAGAATCTCGAAAGGCTGCTAATATCACTGCCAGGTGACTTTGTTGGAGGGAGTCAGCTGCTAGGGGTGTTTGCTCCCTCTGATGGGTCATCGAGGGCTGAGCTTGGGCTGAGGTAGTGGAAATCTCCCCCCTGGGGGCGTGGGGCAGATGGCGGTGGAGGGCTGTTGCTGCTGGCAGGACAGGCTGTGGTTTTTCTGCAATGGAAGGAATAAGAGGGGCACCATGGCAATGGGCACATAATAAGCTATCTGGCAATAGCTTGCTCGGAGCCAGTGGCTTTGCTGTGGAGAACAGGCTCCGCGCAGGCCAAGGAGAGCGATTTTAAATTCTCCGTGGCAGCGCTGTGAAGATAGGGAGACCGAGGCAGGCCTCTTCCAAGCTCCCAGACAACCTTAAGTTGCTGGGCCCCAAGGCCCTTCGGAACAGCGTTCCGCTGGGGAGGGGGCGGGCAGGTTGGCACTACTCCAGCCCAGCTGGGCATCACTGCCCAGTTGCTCAAGCTTCATAAACATCGGAGGAGCCAAAACGCTGGAGGATCAAAGTTCAGGCTCCTTGGGAGCCATTTAGAAAAACAAATGCTTCGTGGGAGCTGAAAACAAGTCCAAGAAAGATTGGCTCCATCTCCCCGCCTCATTGGGAGCAGCAGCAGCACAGCAGGTTTCATACTATCTGGTGTGTGTGGGAAAACTGGTGCCTGAAATAGCTTAGGAGGGAGGGAAAGGCTGAGGAAAACGGAGGAGCATAAAGCCGCGGGGGAGGGGGAAGGGGGAGTGCAGAGGAAGGAGAGGACAAGAAGAGCTCAGGCTGGGGGCAGGACATGGAATCTGTTGCCAAAAGCTCATAACCGCTCAAGGAGCAGAAAGACCTTCTGACACTTAGAAGTTTGCAAATCTTAGTTTTTGTTTTTACAGCTTTTGTGATAGTCAGAGGAGGTACCCGGGGGGTGGGGGTGGGGAATCAGCCCCACGGCCCTGACATTCACGTCTGCATTTAAAATGGGAAAAAGAATCTGGTGTAGAAAAGAGAACTCCTAAATTTAGATTCACATGGAACCGTTTTGTTTTAAGTGTGTGTGGGCGAGGAGGGGAAAGGGGGCAGGACTGGTGCAGCAGGAGGGCTGTGGTTCAGGACTAAGGTATATTAGTGCAGCTGCAGGTGCTGGAGGTGGGGCTAGGAATGGAGTAGCAGGGGGCTGTGGGGTCAGAATTGGGATACAGGGCCCTGGCTTCTTAACCCCCACCATATCTAGGCAGGCTGTTGGTCCGGTTTTAGGATGCACAGTCCTGTTTTTAGATGGTTTGTCCCCTGTCCAGTACTGAGACAACACCAGACATGGCTTTGTCTGGTATCACAAGGGTGCCAGGGTGACCTCGCTGGTGTGTGTGCGCGGGGTCACGCAAGCGGGGGCAGGATGGCGCATTCTTCAAAATGGCACCCTCTCTGTGGCGTGCACGCGAGGGCGCACCATGGGGGGCAGGCCCCGTCATTCCCGGAAGTACCGATGTGTCCAGTATCATGGGGATGTGTGAGTAGCCACCCTACCTGCATCTCTGTCGTTAATCGTGCAGCCTGGAGCTCTATATACCCTTTGTCCCTCTGGGAGTCTGGGCCTGGTGCTGCACAGCAGTTTACTACAGGACGTGAAGAACCACCCTCTATCCATTTGAACCCGCAGAGGGAATTTAATGAGGCAGAATGTAATATAATGTAATGAGTTGGGATTTGGCCCGGATGCTGGGCGTAGCACCCTGATCCTTGAAGAAAATGCCGTGTGATCTTTACTGACCACAGGGGGTCAGGACCTCATGCTTTCATATGAAAGACTAAGAGGAATAAAACAAGAGTCCTTCATCCAGAAGCCAGGATGGCTCTCACTGCCTCGGTTAGCTACTGTCCAAGGGGTGGCTCTTTGGGTCCCCTAAAGCCACCTCCTAAGTCAGGCGATGCTGGCCCGTCCTGAGGCTTGTGCTGCGATTGAGATTCTCAGGAAGCAGCTTTTTCCCTTGGGAAGCCCTCAACCCCAGAGCTGCAGGGTAATGAAACATGAACAGGTTTATGGTAATAGTCCCTAATCCAGAGCATATGCTCCTGATGCACAGCGGATAAGTCTCTAACAAGCAGCAGCAGGGACCGCCTCTCCTGGTGCAAAGGATTGTTTTAGCCATGACTTCATGAAGGAAGCTGGCACACTGGCAGCGGGTGAGACCGCCAGCCACACGCCCAGCCCAACAATAACAAAGAAACGGCCCATCTATGGGGAGAAATAGATGACTTTGGTCTCCAGGGCTGTCAGTCTGAAACCTTCCACTGGAGCCAAA